TCATGTTCATCCTTAGCAACTAGGCACAAATTAGTCATATCAATATAATCTAAATGCACCATGTAGATATCCCTATTTTATGACCAATAAGCATAATCGAAAGTAGATGCAATGTCAATCAATTTTGTAATCATTTAAAATAAAACATTGTATATTTTATCAAATTTATTTTTTCAAAAGATTATGCTTTTAACCCATTCACATATAAAATATTATGCAATGTTGATTATAGAGAGTAAGAGCACATGCATAAAGTTTTTGAAAATGTTATGCATTAAAACTTTATAATATTTAAACAAAAATCTATGCATAAACATTAAAAATTTCAGATCAAAATTTTGCAAAACCAAAGTTCTTGAAAAATCAATATCAATTATTAAAGAGATATCAATTACATTTTAAAAACAATTGTGACCAAAAATTAATATGATGAACTAGAGTTTTAAAAAAAATTACCAAAAATTACCATGTTCATCATACAATATTTTTCAACATACATGAGACAAAACATAATCATTTAGAATTATTTAACATTTAAAACCTCATGCATGCATATAATAAATGAGCAACCAAATAAAATAAAAAAAAATTAAGTTTAGAGGTTACCCATTACTTTTTCATGTGTGGCTAGAGCATCTTGAATATCATCAACTTCATCACCATTGCTCCCACACACCTACAAGAGACATTTAAGTAGATTTTGGTATCCAAATTGCTTTGGATCCTTGAACATTAGTTTCAATGCCTCTTGTTCCTTTTGGAATCCATACTTGTCTAATTTTAAATCGTTTTCCTTTCTTTAAAGGACAAGTATGTTCCTTATGACCATGATAATGACAATGTGAACATATTGTCATTATTGAACTAGATGAATTATTTAGAATGATCTATTTTTCTTTAGTTAAACATTCAAGCTTATCTTTTAAATTGAAATTTTCTTTTTCAATACTTTCAAATTTCATTTTTGAGAGTTCTAAATCCTTCTTCAAGATTTCGTTTGATTTTCAAAATCCATTTTCATTTCTAGAAGAAGTTTGTTTAATTTGAAAATTTCTTTTTCAAAGTTTTCAGATTTTATTTTTGAAAGCTCTAACTCCTTTCTCAACATTTCATTTTGATTTTCCAAGTCTGTTTTAGCTTTCAAAAGAATATCATTTTTAGCAATAAATTTAGAAATCAATTTATTGTATTTGGAGTTCATAGTCTCAAACTCCGAAAATAATTTATCATAAGCATCTTGTAACTCATTAAAAGATTTTGAATTTGATATATTTGAGTTAGAAGATACCTTTGGCTCTGTGAGAGCTAATAGAGACATCACTTTTATTGGTTCTTCTTCTTCCTTGTCTCTATAGATCTCCTCAAGCTTATCCCACATTTTCTTGGCACTTGAACAAGAAGAAACTCCTTTATATACATTAGGATCAATTGCACAACACAACATGTGCATAGCCTTTGAGTTTTGTTGAGCTTCATTCCGTTCTTGAATACTCCACTTCTTTGCCTTCTTAGTAGGAGATGAATATCATTTCTTGATTATCATCCAAGCTTCCATATCAAATGCTTTGATGAATATCATCATACACCTCTTCCAATGACGATAAATTGTTCCATTGAAGTGTGGAGGCACGTCAATTGGTCTGGATTCTTCCATGGAGAATGAACCGAAAGTGGACGCCATCTTTATCGATTTAACTCTTCCCGGATCGACTCAAGAGGCGATTAAACCTTCAAATGAGTTAGGATCTGATGCCAATTGTTGAGTTAATCGATTGACGGAATTGGCCAAGAGGGGGTGAATTGGCAATTAAAAATTTGGTGGAAGCTTTTGCAGAAAATTGAAAGTAATTACACAGCGATTTAGAGTGGTTCGACTTTCTCAATCAAAGTCTACGTCCACTACCTTAGCTATCCACACTAAGGATTTTCCAACAAATTCACTAATTTGTTCTTTCTTTTGAGGCCAAAGAGATAACCTTACAACACCCTCAAGAATATACCCCAATTCTTGAGAACACTCTTTCCCAAAGAGAAGATTACAAATTTGCAAACTTACAAGAAAAACCTCTCAAGGTAAGATGTTTGCACAATTCTAGAACAAGAAAAGAACACTCACAAATAATTACAAATGAGCACAAATGGTGTTCTTTGAAAGCAAAATGAATATTGAAAGGAAAATTGGCTTGATTTGCACAAACTTGGTGTTTGATGCTTTCTCTCTTGTTTCTCTATAATTTCTTGTTGATCAAGGGCTTCAGAACTTGTTTAAATACACTTTGAATCACTTCTGAACGTTGGGGATGATTAGTGAAGATCATATAGCCGTTTTAGTGTGAAAACAATTAATAAAACAGCTTGGAGCGTGGGGGGAATCGGTACCCCCTATGGGGAATCAGTTCCCTAAGTGTAAAATTCAAATATTTCGACCGTTATACAAGGGGGGAATCGGTACCCCCTGGGGGGGAATCGATTCCCTCCGAGCATACTGGAATTCTCGGAGCCAAACCATTCAGGGGGGAATCGGTACCCCCTTAGGGGGGAATCGGTTTCCTCTGAGCAATCTGGAATTTTTGGCTTTGAAATGGTTCGAAATACTTTGTAAAATTATTTTGAAATTGTTTTAAGATTAAAACTTAATTTTACACTTTGAGTAAGGATTAAAAATGATCTTTGAAAGATTTAGAGTAATGTTTTGATATTCGAATAATTCTATCGAATATACTTAGAAAATCATTTGGAAAATCTTAAAATTCATTTAACTTAATTTGTTATATCGAAATATCAAAATGTTTTCAACAGTAAGAATCAAGAAGAACATGATTAAAAAGCTCAAATACATTCAAATTATATTTAAGATCATCTCCTGTTGCAACAAGCTGAGAATCAATCTCAGTTTCTGCTATTTTTGCATTATAGATCGGCTCCGATGTAGCATTAGTTTGCCAGTTGAAATATGAACTCAAAACCATGACTTACGTACTACGTAGCTTCGGAAAGAAGGAGTCCATAAGTTGAGGGATTCCAAGTTGAGCTTGCAAATACTTGACATATTTGAAGGCAGACTGAAGCATTTCAGCAGTATTCATCTTACTCCTACCGGGAACAGGCTTCTCGAGCTCTTCTTTTTCATTTTTTCATTTGTGGTTGTCCTCCCCTTTTCAGAATCAAAGGTCCCTATGCTCTTACCAACTTTGTAAAGTCGGATCATTCACGACTATTGCACATTCAAATGATTTTCGGGTATGATTCTGGCCAAGAATCTCACTTTCTTTGTTCACCAACTTCTGTTCTCGGATTTCAACCCGACGAAGAAGCTCAACTTCGAACCGAGTCGAAAGATGGAGCTGGTTGGAGACAAGTTTTTGATGAGTAATTGTTAACAGAACCAGGGGTTTTGTATGATTACTTCGATTATGAAAGCCATGCACTAATACTTGTCGATGAAATGAGGTTACCAGAAGATAGTAAATTAGAACAAGGCTATCCTTTTTCCCACCAGTGGCTCCAAGTTGATTTGATATTTAAGCCCCCGAGAGCGTGAGACCAACGCCAATTAAATGTGGGAATGAAATTGCCATTTGATGTTGGAAACTAGAAAGTGGAAACCATGGAAGACAGAGAAAGAATACCGAGAGAGAACCCCACGCCCAGTGTCCCCCCTTTTCAATTTCTGGTGGCCCCCTTTAAAAAGCAAAAGAAAATGGAGTTTGTTTTAGTTAGTTGGGGGTAGTGGCACGATGGAAGGGGAAATCAATTGTTTGTTGGGTAGTGTTTAAGTGGGTTAAACATGAGGTCTGTAAAAAATAAAAAAATAATAAAAAATAAAAATAATAAAAATAATAATAAATAAATAATATAATATAATATAATATTTTTGTAGATCTGGATAAAAACGGGTGTCTACAGATTTTTTTTAAAAAATTGTAATTTTGGTGTAACAATTTTTTACAGCTACATTACCCATGTAAACATATCAAATTTTGGTATTGGATAAACACGTGTTTAATATATAAACTATTATTTTTGTTTTCTTTTGGTACCTAAATTTTTATTTATTTCAAAATTATACCCTGAGACGGAGTCACGATTTTAGTTCGGGGCAAAGTATAATTAACAATAGAAAATGTGGGGAGGAAAAATCAAAATAAATCAAAATTTAAAGGTCTAAATTGATAATTATCCATATTTTTTAATGGTAAAAAATTTTGGGTTAGTGCCTCCGGGGCTAAATGGCTCTGTCACTGATTATACTTAAAGTATACTTTCTATTTCATTTTGGTACCTCGTTGTTAAAATTAAATTTAAAAGTTAGAGTGATTAAATTAAGATCAATTTGAAAGTTATTAAATTTTTTTTATTTTATTTATATATTAATAAATTAATAATAAAATGTGATGTCACAAAATTAAAAAATTAAACATGAGTGGGAAGATAATTGAGTAATAAATGATGTAATTTACCCATAAAAACGTTATGCTTATTCCACTAAACTTTTCATAGCGAGCTACCAAAATGAAATAAAAAAACTAAACTTTAGGTATAATTTTAAAACAAATAAAAATTTAGGTACCAAAAGAAAACAAAAATGATAGTTTATATATTAAACATGTAGTTTACCGAATACCAAAATTTGATATGTTTACATGGGTAATGTAGCTGGAAAAAATTGTTACACCAAAAGGAATTTGTCACCTTAAGGTGACGAGTTTCACAATAAATATTAAAATATTGGGCATAGAATAAAAAATAATATCATATAGAACTCGTTATCTCGAGATGACGAGTTCGTCATGCACCGTAGAAAATTCTATAGATCCCAAAATAATTTCTAGACACTCTTTTTCCCTAAATAATTTTAGGGCCCACGGTAATGGGCCTAAAAAACTTCCAAACTTTGTATTGGGCCTATAGCTATAATCTATCCGTTGACCAACATAAGCCCAAACTCAGACAGGACACAAAAGTAATTTCAGACAAACTAGGGTTTTTGTATAACCAACCTTCACATCTCAGTTTATCATTTCCTTTGAATCTTAAAAATCTACCCCCAAAAGGCTTTAGCTTCTTCCTCAGCTAAAATGGGTATTGCTCACATTTCTCTAATTTTTATTTTATCAATCTCTTCTACATCATGCAACGTTTCTTATTGATATTATTGTTTAATATTTTTAATTGGTTTTCTTTTGTTCTGACAGGTATTTCTCGTGATTCCATGCACAAGAGGCGTGCCACTGGTGGCAAAAAGAAGGCTTGGAGGAAGAAGAGAAAGTAATCTACTGAACCCTTTTTTCTCTCTCTTTTTATCGTGCTTCGACTTTTTTTATGATGATTTTTTTCCTGTAGTTGATTTAAAATTATTAATAAATGTGGGCTTTTGTTCTTGTGATTTAATTGATCTGTATATGGCTTCATTTTATTGTGATTGAAAATTTGGGAGCAATTTTATTAAGCCTAAGGGGGGATTGTTTTTGGTTGATAGATTCAAATTCATTATCATTACCATCGACTATGCTATTTATTTTTGACTGTAAAAGTTCAACCTTTCTAGTTTGTTTAGCTCCAGGGACCTTATCCCTTTTTTCTCTCATTATTGTTAGGTTGTTTCACTTGAAGTTCTTCTGTTTGAGTTTATCCGTTTTTCTAAATTTTGTTGCTTTTTAAAAGGTATGAGCTCGGAAGGCAACCTGCAAACACAAAGCTGTCGAGTAACAAGACCATAAGGAGGATTCGTGTTCGTGGTGGGAATGTGAAGTGGCGTGCTTTACGTCTTGACACAGGAAACTACTCATGGGGCAGTGAAGCTGTGTCTCGGAAGACCAGGATTTTGGATGTGGTGTACAATGCATCTAACAATGAGCTTGTTCGTACTCAAACTTTGGTTAAGAGTGCTATTATTCAGGTTGATGCTGCTCCGTTCAAGCAATGGTATCTCCAGCACTATGGCGTTGACATTGGTCGCAAGAAGAAAGCTGCAGCTGGAGCAGCCAAAAAGGAAGGAGAGGTGAGACTTTAATTCTTATTTTTACATCTCATAGATATTGCATCAATAACAGATTATTTGCTATGTTGATGCATTAATTATTTTTGTAAAGTGTTGGTCATTTTGCTCTGTTGTCGACTTGAGTATGTCTTTATTTTGTTTGTCAGGAGCTGATTTTAGTTTTTCTTACCTTCTTGTGAAATTGTTCTTTTTCTTCGCACAGCTGTCCTTGCTGCAACTGATTTGCCCTCACTATTAGAGATATCAGTGCATACGGTTATTCCTATCTTGCTATCATTTCAGTTGGTTTCTGCCCCTTCTTGAACTTGGTTCCCTACAAAATAAAAGTTATATAGCAATCCAACTTATACCTTAGACAAGGCTAATGATGTGGTTCTTTTAATCCTCAGTTGGGGATATCCTGTTTACAGTTTCACATTGCTTTGACCCATTTTCCTACAGGAAGGTGAAACTGTCACTGCGGAGGTGAAGAAGAGCAACCATGTCTTGAGGAAGCTGGAGAAGCGTCAGCAGACTCGCAAGCTTGACTCCCATATTGAGGATCAATTTGGTGGTGGTCGTTTACTGGCTTGCATCTCTTCACGGCCTGGTCAGTGTGGCCGTGCTGACGGGTATGGAATCTCCTAAATGTCTTCCTGCAGAAGCCTTTTATCATGTTCCCTTTACCTCTTACCTTTTACTGTCGGCATCTACAATTTCTTTGTCGGACTTGTTAATTGTTTCTCGATAGCCTTCGTAAAAGCTTTTCAATCCTCTAATCTCTTGTATATGCTGGACAAGTAGTTCTTAGGTAACCATAACTATGTCAAATCGGCTTGACAGGTATATCTTGGAGGGCAAAGAGTTAGAATTCTACATGAAAAAGATCCAGAGAAAGAAAGGAAAGGGAGCTGCCTAAACTTTTGTTGCTCGAGATTTTATCTTTCTGATGGAAATGTTGTTTTCTGCTTTACTTTCATCTTTTCGGAACGCTTGAGATTGTGCTAGTGTTTATCTACGAAGAAGTGGCGTGTACCCCTATACGAGTGTATTCTCATGTACTTCAGTTGCATGCTAGTTTTTGTACTTTGGAGTTAGTACGTTGAACCTTATAAACTTAGCCTATTTTGGTTGGTATGGATGAGAGGCTGGTTAAATTGATGAATAATTTTCTGGTTATGGTATTATGTATGTTCCAACAATCAACTTGATAAAATGGTTAAAAGTGGGATCAGGGTTTGCAACTACATGCAGTTGATGTTCGGATTGTGGTCTTGGATGTTAAAAATTATAAAATGGAATCAGGTTGTGTGTGATCCAATAATCAATTTGGTGGATTCGGATGTTAGAATTAAAAAATGGAGCGGATTTTGAACAATAGTAAATGATGTTTCGAAAATCTATTATTTCAATTCAAATAACTTACAGCATATACTACTGTAGGTTCGAGATATTCAAATATAACTTTGAATTCTAAATTATAAAGTTGTAGGAAGAAATTTATTTTAGGGTGAATCGTACTATCGTTAATGTTTAAGCTTTTATTGTGTCCATTGAAATTCTAAAAGTAATAATCGATCACTAATATTTTTGATTTGTAATATGTCAACCACTCAACGTTAACAATCATTAATGTGGGGATGGAAAGCTTACTTGACATGTTAACCACTTCCCTGAATTATTGGTTGCCATGTTGGAGAGTTTGATCGACACTTCAAATAAATTAAAATTGAAAAGAAAAAAAGATGTCTGGGCAAGTTTTACATGCCATTGCCACCGGTAGCAGTAATCGCATTGTTAGGAATCCAAGGAAGGTCAAAACTAGTCAAAAAATATCAGACCAACAATCTTCGGTGACCATTTCAGCAATTCCTTCAAATCCTTCGAATAAGTCATCACTCAATGTCGTGTCAGACATCCCAATCTTCAACTAAATCCTTCATGTTTGCCACCTTTGTACTTTGAACCACAACTCTTGAGATAAACCTGTTGACAGTTCGTCTCCGGCAACCTCCGTGGATGAAGGGGTTGTGGTTCAAAGTATAAAGGTGGACAGTTGAAGGATTTGATTGAAGATGAAGGCGAAGATGAGTTTGGGATGTTTGACATGACAATAAGTGATGATTTTTTTGAGTGTCTAGAAGGAATTGTTGAGAATTGTCTGTCCAGCTCAGTTGGTAGAGCGCAAGGCTCTTAACTTTGTGGTTGTGGGATCGAGTCCCAGGGTAATTCATAATTCTGACTGCCGGAGGTCTTCCACGGAAACTGCTCACAACCTGGCGTTGGGGGCAACCTACTACCTTACCTCCCCTCACCCTATTATATATGGAATAGGGTCAACTATTTAGAAGGAATTGCTGAAATGATTGTCGGAGATTGTTGGTCTGGTATTTTTCTAGCTACTTTTGACCTTCCTTGGATTGTCAACAGTGTGGCTACTGCCGTTGGTGGCATATAAAACTTGCCCATATACGTTTTTTTCACCTTTAATTCATTTGAAGTGTCGGTCAAACTCTCTAGGTGGAAGTCAACGATTCAAGTAAGTGGTTAACGGGCCTAGTAAGTTTTTTATCACCACGTTAATGATTGTTAATGTCTAAGTGATTTATTTATTACAAACCAATAATGTTAGTGATCTATTTATTATTTTTAAAACTTTAGTAGAAAAAACAAAAACTTATTCAAACATTATTGACTATTTTTATAGTTCACCATTTATTTTATAAGGGTGTAAACTTAGAGACACAATTAGGGAGATCATACTGAAAAAAAAGATTTTGAAAAAAAAATGAGGACGATTGAGAATTATTTTGGAATATAAGTCATTTGTTATAATACAAGAGAAACTCGTCACGTAGAGGTGACGAGTTTCATATAATTTTAATCCTTTTTATTTTTCAACATGTATTGTAGCAAATGATCTATATCTCAAAATAAATTTGATGGTGTCCTATTTTACTAATTAGTTATGCCGTCTGCATTATTTGCCTAATTTCTCCAAACTTAGACATTTATATTAGAAATTTAAGATTACAGAATTATAGTAAGTGCAGAATTAGATCATTAATAAAAAAAATATAAAAAATACTTAAATATTCAATAAATAGGATTGCACTTCGAAACATCCCTCTCCGTTTATTCCTGTTTATTTGGCAAGCAATCTGTCATCTAGCAAGTAACAATTACGAACCATAACACAACAGTCTATAACATGGGCTGAATCTCAACGGATAAAGGAACCAGATGAACTAAGAAAATGGTTATAAACCCAAAGTTATTCCACATAACACTGATGCTCATATACCCGAAACGAGAGCAGAGAATGTGAGTACAACCGAGGATGGACCGACGGTGCAATTCAATTCTATAGTTTGCCATATTTCTTCCTTAACCTCTCCTTAACGAAGTCGTTTCGAGCTTTAGTTCGAGCTTGCTGTGGGGCGGCGTTCACGTAAGAGAAATGCGTGCCGAGTGCAAAAAGGCCAGCACCAGCAAGGAAGCACCCCACTGTCACCGCCAGCTTCTTGGGCGTTGATGGGAAACAAAAAACCATCTTGGCTGATCACAAAAGTAATTGCTTTGCTCCCACAGATGGATCCAACACTTAACCTGGAAACATAAATCACGTAACATAAAAAAACCATACTTTTTCTTAGAGGCAATTTGCCAGACACTTGGTAGGCTGTCTTGATTTATCGTATTTCAATGCTTCCATGACTCGATTTCTGCATTAAATAACACAAGTAGGGATATTGAAATATTTAACCACCATGTTTTCATGCCTCTTTTTGTCTTGATTTGAAATAATTACCTCATGTGTGTATGTTTGTTTTTGACATTCCAAATGAAAACGAAAATAGAAGGAACTCATACCTCAAACTAACAGACAAGATTCCAGATGATGGAGCTTAATTTAATTTAATGCGAAATGTTGGAATGTGTTGAGATTCAGATTTTATGTAAAATAAGAAGAATTGTAATCCATTAATACTAACTCAGAGTAGATATGGAAGACCCGAAACTCATGCGATGAATATTTTTCTTTGGGGATAAATCAATTTTTCACCCCTGAATTCCATAATTTTATAAATTTGACACTTCATTTTTTTTCTGTCCACATGTGTTGTCCACATGCATTAGACTTTAAATACGATGCGTTTGATTAAGGGTGAGTAAAATCGACTAAAAATCAAATAAAATTTGAGTTATAAAATAGAACTCAAACAACTTAATCTTTTTTTTTTGTAATTAGTGTATTAATTTTTAAGTTTAAATATAGTTCCTCAAACCTACGCTATATATGTATGCATTGACGGATCTAGAAATTTAACAACGGGTGTCCAAAATTTTAATTTTATTTTCTTAAAAATAATGTGGTGCAATTTTTTTTCCATTTTTCTTTAACGTATCATACTAAATATCACTTTTTTTCCTAAATAATGAAAACGCACTTGCCCCTATAGGGGGCTTAGTGCATCTGCCCCTGTATGTATGTATGTATGTATGTATGTATGTTGTATATGGTTATAGAAAGACATTTAAATTGGAATCAATCATTATCATAACATTATAAATATTTATTTATACTCAAACAACTCGAAAACATTTAAATGGAATTTTAATTATAAAATAAGATTTATCAATTCGATTAATTCAAAATTTTGTAAGTCGACTCGGCTTCAATTTGATGTTCATCTTTACTTTTTGATAATGTAATCAAAATAAGAATTAGCATAAACTAAAAAAAAAATTCAAAGATCAAACCTTAATTTTTGTATCTGTATATGAATTTATGAAAGGATCGACCTTGAATCATTTAGCAACCAAGAGTCCTCATTATCCTGTCAAGCCGATTAATGACAAGTTGAGGATCAGCATATATTCCATGAAGATCAATGCCATGAGCTTCCAACCCTTTCCACTGCGCAATCAGTTGGAAGTGCGGCCGTTTGAATTTCGGGCTAATGATCTCAAGAAGCACCGTGTTCGGTGTTGCGGATACCAGGTGCGTTAGACCAGCACCGTGAGCACCGATGACAACCGAAGCATCTTGAACGACTCGGACCTGCTCTTTCATCGGCATATGAGCAAACAACCCATTGATGAGGTTCACTTTGCATTCAACATGGTTAGATGCCCAACTCGATAGTGAATCGAACACTTCTTGTTCATTGCCGAGTCTTTTTTCAACTGTACCTTCATGGCGTGGATGTGCTAAATAATCTTCTCGACGGATAAACAGAACATTGTGACCGGAGGCTGCCTTACCGGCACGATGCATGTTCACTGGAAGGTCGAAAGCGGCTCTTATCATTTCTCCAAACTCGGATAATCGAGCGGTTTTGTCGAAATCGGGACTTTGCTGAAGATCATGAGCAGAAACTCCATGGCAATCTATTTCTTCGTCGAGTCCTCTAAATAATGGGGTCTCGTACCCCAAAGGCGAGAAAATAACATGGCTGAAGCACATTGGACCAGTGAAGCTTTTAGCGTATCTGAGGCTCGAAAACAATGCATTCCATGTTTCGTCCAACTGTGTCTGGAAAAAAAGATCAACATTAACAGAAGAACAATGACAAACCTAACATGGAATAGTGATTATGTATACCTGAGAATGGCCATCGACAAAGACCAAATGCGGCCGATTAGGCAAGCCGGCCACCCTAGAAGACACGTACGCGCTGTACCAATCAGTGACCGTGTGGAAAAGGTTAGCATACTCCACTCTTGTTACCAGAAGTGTAGGCTCTTCTACCCACTGTAATCAGAGCTTCCCACATCAGAATCCATAAAACCAGAACTAAACAATAAGCATGTAAACCAGCCAATCGAACACGAACAAGTGTATGTTTATATTCGTGTGTCTAATTTTAACCACACAAATCAACAAGAAGAACTAAACAAACATAATTTTTATTCGTATTAGTTCCTTAAAGAACATAGCTTATTCATGTTCGACACAAACGAACATAAACAAACATAAATGAACACATATTTAAATGTTTTTCTTTTTCAATCTACAAATAAATAGTAAGTTGTTGGATGGAAAACACACATGCGAATAAATTTAAATGAATAAATTATCGAATTTTCATGAACATAAATGAACGAATGAACCATTTTTTTTCAAGTTTGTTAATTTAATTAAATAAATAGAAAATCTTATGTTTCGTATATGTTCATTCGATTCATTTAGAGTCCTAACTAAACATTAACATGCAAAAACTTGGAAACGAAATATAATCAAACCTCTTCACAATCGAAATCATTTGCACCAACAACAACAATCGACCTAACCGATTCCCTAATAGGATGTCTTGAATCACCTTCAACAGGTATAAACTTACGCAAGAACCCTTCACCAACAAGGTTCCTTCTCTTTAATCCTCCATGATTACCTTCAACCACAAAAGCTCCATCTCTAAACCTTGGCAGTTCATCTTCTTCCCTTCTGCCAATAACATCCTCAAGCTTTTCACCTCCTCTCGACATCTCAATCTTCGAAGGATCCATCCTTATCTTCCCACCTTCACAGATTGAAGTCCTCAATGTCTCCGAGTAATGACACCGAAACCAACTGGAGGCGACCTTTGCGGGTAAAATATCAGCTACCTTTGTAAACCCATTTCCGAAATAAGCTTCACATGAATTTACAGCTACGTTTGCGTTCATAAACCAAGGCAAATATGATGGGATGATTGGCCAGGGCTTTGACGAACGAGGTCTACGGTATGGGATGTTTGATGGATAACTTTCAGCCGTACGGTGGTGGTTCACCGCCGGATGGTGGTGGTGGGTGGGGTGGATGGACGAGAAGTAATGATAAAGAGTAATGGAGTTGAGAGCAAATAGAGATATGATGATTATGATAAAAAATAGAGAAAATCGCCTCAGTGACCAAAAAAAAGTTATAATATACGATTTTAACCAACTTTTTTTGGATTTGCCAAAATGACCAACAAAATCGCAACGCGAAATAAAAATCGCAACGCGATCCCCAGAATCGCAAATCAGTTTCCAGAATCGCAACGCGATTCTTGAAAATCGCGATGCGATAGTACAAATTCGCATTGCGATTTTCCATAATCGCAACGCGAATATGAAAATCGCAACGCGAACACATAAATCGCAACGCGTATCCGTAAATCGCAACGTGTATCCGTAAATCGCAACGCGTATGGGTAAATCGCAATGCGTATCCGTATATCGCAACGCGTATCCGTAAATCGCAACGCGTATCCGTAAACCGCAACGTGTATCCGTAAATCGCAACGCGTATCCGTAAATCGCAATGCGTATCCGTAAATCGCAACGCGTATCCGTAAATCGCAACGATAATCCGTAAATCGCAACGCGTATCCGTAAATCGCAACGATAATCCGTAAATCGCAACGAGAATCTGTAAATCGCAACGATAATCCGTAAATCGCAACGAGAATCTGTAAATCACAACACTGAAATTTTGGGTATATAACACTGAAATCATAAACTAAATCCCTAAATCGCAACTCATTCCATCTCCATCTATCACTCTCTCCGGCGACATCCGTTCCTATATCCAACGACATCCTTCCCCATCCGGCAACAGGTCTTAGTTTCGCATCTCGTTTGTTTAGTTACAACCATGAAATCATCTAATGTTGATCATGTTTGGATAGATTTGTGTTTTGGAGGGTCATGGGATAATGTTAATGGTGTTTTACAATATATGCCTTTACCCATAAATCTTCAACTAAAATTGTCTTTACAAAAGTTAACTTATGAAACTCTAATGCTACGTGTTTCAAATAAATTGAATTTAGAGCCCCTAAGTGGATTTAGGCTATCTTATCAGAGAAATGGTAAAGTTTATTGTTAACCGACAATGAAGATGTTGAACGATTCATTGCTTACATTAGTGTTTCACAAGATGATGTTACATTGTATGTTGTTGAACCTAGAAGTAGTATTGTTGGGTCAGTAGCGGGTAGTAATCAACTAAGTTTTTCTCAAAACCCACAACCTTTCTCTAATCCAAATCCCAATCAACTTTCAGCACCAAATTCCGGTTTTCGTATTGACCAGTTAGACGATGATGAGCCAACAGAAAAAATTGTGATTACTAGTCAGTATTCGAAATTTGGTCTTGGTCAATATCCGGACTTTGATATTGGTCAATACACGGATTTTGATGATGTTTCAGAAGAAGAAACAGACCATGCGTGTAATGATATTGATATTGGTCAATACCCGAATTTTGATGATGAAACAGCCGTTGCCGAAGAATGTAATGTTGATGATAATGAGGAGGAAGTTACGACTGTGAATGAACATGTTGAACATCCATTCTGTAATTCATATAATCCTGAAGAAGAAAAAGAAGAAGAAAAAGTCCCCGAAGAAAAGAAAATGCCACGGGCGTATAACTGGAATATGCCAGAATTACTTCAGATACCAGAAGAAGAGTTGATAAAGAAAGCAGTTGATTGTTACACAAAAGTTATTCGTATCAAGAAAGATGATTGTTTTGATACAAAGGAAGACTTGAAGATAGCTTTATATACGAAATGTGTGGAAGATGGCTATCAACTAAAAGTTAACAAATCAAGCAAAGATCGTTTCGAAACAAGGTGTATGATTGACAAAAACTGTACGTGGCGTATGATTGCAAAGAGAATAAAAGATTGCAAAATGTTTCAAGTTAGGACTTTTATTGATAAACATACATGTTCAAGAACCCAAGTTTTCCTCACCATAGACAGGCAAACAAAAAGGTGTTGGGTGGTTTTCTGGCTGAGTTAATGTTTTTGAATGGCAGGGTATATCGGGGACATGAAATTATGACTGACATGAATGCTCGGTTCAAGATTAGTATATCATATTCTCAAGCTTGGAGAGCCAAATGTTATGCCTTGGAATTGTTGAGGGGGTCGCCAGAAGCATCGTTTGCCCAACTGCCGGCTTATTGTCACAATTTAAAGCTGAAAAATCCTGGGTCGGTAACTCATATCAAAACAGATAGAGATGGACGCTTTGAGTTGCTGTTTATCGCCATTGGTGCTACGGTTAGTAAATCAATATAATTTTGTTGACTCATTTTTGTTAGTTACATGCATTTCACATTTAAATGATTATATTTCTTGTGTATATTATTTTGTAGATTCGTTCGTTTATTACTTGCATGCGCCCAGTTATTATAGTTGACGGAGCACATTTGAAAGGTCGATACCTTGGAGTAAACTTATTAGCAGTAGCCATGGATGCTAACAATGGGATATTGCCAATAGCTTACGGGGTTGGCAAATCTGAAACCTCTGATTCATGGACATGGTTTATGGGGCATCTTAGGGATTGCATAGGTCCTATTAGCAATCTGACAATCATATCCGATAGGGCAAACTCAATTGACAAAGCTGTTAGAAGGTGTTTCCCAGATGCTTTTCATGGACTTTGTGGTGTTCATTTGTATAGAAATCTAAAATCAAGGTCTGCTGGTATAAAAAAGCACAAATGGACATACTGGAAGGCTGTAAAAGCTTATCGGGAAGTGGATTTCAATAAGCATATAAATTGTTTAAGACGTGTTTTGCCTCAGTGTGCTCAAACACTAGAAGATGTCGGGTTTGAAAGATGGTCAAGAGTACATCAACTTGGAGCAAGATATGGTTTCATGACGTCTAATAGTGCAGAATCAATCAACGCTCTAAGTCGTCATTCCCGGAAATTACCCATTACTATGTTAATGGAGTTTTTTCGAGCCTCTATTCAACAGTGGTACTACAAGAAAAGAAACCATGCAGGTATTATTTCTTTGAATTCGTAACTTATCATATTTATATTTTACTAAGTATTGTTTATTTAAATTTACAGGAACATTGGAACATCGTGTTACACCATGGACTGAAAAAAAGATAACGAAACGTGTTGTGAAGTCAACGTCATGGAGAGTTGAACCATGTTCAAACACTTTGTTTCAAGTACTGGATAATAACTTAAATGGGCTAGTCGATCTAAATGCAAAGACGTGTAGTTGTATGAAATGGCAAACATCTGGTTATCCGTGTGGCCATGTTATAAAAGTTGCTCTTCATTTAAACCAAGATGATTCAAGCGCATACGCTATGGATTGCTACACTACAGAAGTTTATCGACAGACTTATGCCGAGATTGTCTACCCTATTCCACATCCTTCTGAGTGGGACATACCAGATGACTTACAAACAGTTTTGCCACCAGCCATGGACAGAAGGCTACCTGGCCGACCAAAAAGTCACGATCGTATACCGTCTAAGGGTGAAGAGAAGAAGAGATCGACATGTAGTCGGTGCAAGGAAAGTGGTCATACAAGGTTGACATGTGGATCACCAGTGCCATCAAAATCATCTTTTCCTCTACCAAAATATGGATCCTCATCAAAATCCAAAGCTCATATGGTGTGAACTTTGTATTATGTAAACGTTGTTATTCAGTTGTATTATGTAAACGTTTTAACATTTAACATTTTATGTGTATTATGTAAACGTTGCCATCAAAAGCTCATATGCAAACGTTGTATTATGTGGATTTTATGTGTGAACTTTTAACATTTTCAGTTGAATTAATGACTCAGGCCAACCATTTTGACTTAACCAACTCTTGTTATTCAGTTGTTATCACTATTAGGCATGCATTTGACTATCGCAACACGGAAAATACAATCGCAACGCGAAATGAAAATCCCAACATGAAAATCGCAATGCGGAAATGAAAATCGCAACGAGAGAATCGCAATGCGAAATGAAAATCGCAATGCGAAATGAAAATCGCAACGAGAGAATCGCAATGCGAAATGAAAATCGCAATGCGAAATTAAAATCGCAATACGAAATGAAAATCGCAATGCGAAATGAAAATCGCAATGCGAAATGAAAATCGCAACGAAAGAATCGCAATGCGAAATGAAAATCGCAATGCGAAATGAAAATCGCAACGAGATAATCGCAATGCGAAATTATAAACGCATTGCGATTTTCATTTCCGCATTGCGATTTTCATTTCGCATTGCGATTCTCTCGTTGTGATTTTCATTTCGCATTGCGATTTTCATTTCGCATTGCGATAGTCATTTTTGCCTTCAACATAATGCAGATTGAAATCAACAAAATCAACCATTACATTTCAATCAATTAAACAAGCACAAATAAGAATTATGTTCGCATCAATTACACAAATCAACTTTTACAAATCATCTTTTACAAATCAATTAAACAATCAAAAATTGAATCAACTTTTACAAATCAATTAAACAATCAAAAAACAATCAATTAAACTATTGAATCAACTTTTGCAGCTCGACATCATTTTCACGCAGTTCACTTCTGAGATTAACCTGCAGAAACCAAACATTTGTTCAAACAACACTTTCTACGCAAATTATTGAATTCTAATTACTTAACCAAACATTTTCATTTATAAGTATATAAACTTACCAATTGTTTATGGACATTTTTATAACGCGGATGCAGGTAGGCAGCGTCTCGTATATATCGATTTAGCCATATAATGCCGAAACCACAAGCCTACTGCAGCTTTATCTCTATCGGTGGGAGGTAGATACTTGATGCTTCCCGTCGTCAAACGCTCCAACGCCAAGCATACGAGAGGACCACAATCTCCTCTGGCTCCGCTCGTTTGTTGTGGCGCGGTCTCGTCTCTAATAACTGTAATATTGAGCTTCTTTGGCTTCTTATTTCCAGAACGAGTCCAATAATTGATCGCATCCAAGAATTTAGCCAAATGAGAGCTCCATCCCTTAATAACATCTCTTAAATCATCCAATGATATGTAATTTATCATGCTGTCATACACTATTGTCTTAAGGGATGGGAGCTGAAGCTCGACGAGAATCCAATGTTTACGTTCCAAAACAGG